TCCCAAAGGGCCCCAGAAATTTAAGAGATGGGCTCATTCACTCACTCACTCACTCACTCACTCACTCACAATTTACTCACAAGCATCCGTGCCAGGGTTCTAGCTGCCTGGCTAATTGAGCCACACTGGCATTTTCAGGAACATGCCAGTGTCCAGAGGCAGCCTCACCCCACCCAGGCTCTTAGCCTACAAAAGGAAAAGCTAAGACAGATTGTGGGTGGGTGTGTAGGAGAAAAGGAGATAGGAAAATGGCAAGCAGGCTAGGAAGCAGGAGGCAATGTCCAGAAATTTACAGCTATTACAGGCAGGCAAGAGGATTGTCAGTCAACTGCCTGGACCACAAGCTACGGTAAGTAGTGCATCCTGGTGGGATTCCTACCTGGAGCTTGGCTTGGGAGCTCAACTGGAGCTCTCAGAAGCAACATTGCTTAAGAGCAGAGCTTGGAGCTTGGCCTGGAGCTTGGCAGCAACCAGAAAAGGAACAACCACACTGAGGCAGCACCTCATCCCAGCCAGCGCAAGAACATTTGGAGGGAGGCAAAGGTTGTATGCCACTTTACAGACCTGAGACTTTTGTTTGTTTTAGGGACTGAGTATTAAAGACCTATTTATGTGGCTACATCAACTTGTAAGGCTTAGGAGGGTGGAGTTAACCCAGAGCAATAGCCTGTTGTTGGGGAAGATGTAGGCCACAATAAAGCATTGTGTACAGAACTGCTATACTGTGGTGTGTCCACCCCTTGGAAAGTAAAGAACCCTCACAATGGGTACCAGGTTAATGCAAAACAAAACCAAAGGTCTGAGCTGGTAATTCTTCCTCTGTGTGTTTGTGTGTGTGTGTCTATTGAAAATGGTGGGTTTGGCTCTTTTTTAAAAAAAGATTACTGTTTTCATATCATGTGTAAAACAATTTCTTGATAGATATATAGATTATGGCCTAGTTTCATATAGCTACTTAGCTGGATGTGAATTTCAATTGACATCACATTCAGTTTGGCTCAAAACAAGCTATCAAAATCAGAAATATACCAGCAGCCTGCTCCTCCATTTCTGATAGCTTTATATATTTGTCAGGCATTGATTTTGCCTGACAAATCAGGCATTGATATATTTTTTCAGGCATTGATTTTGCTACTGTCAAGTGGAATATGTGATACTTTATTTTTTGTGATTTTTCAGAACAATAAATACCAAAAAGGAGCTTGAAGATTCACACATTTATTACAGCATAAGCTTTGTAGATCTCATATTTTATTCCTAGTTATTATTGGTCCCAAAGATATGAATAATTTACTGCTTTATACCTAGCTGATCTTATAACTTTGGACTACTGTCACAGACCTGTTTCATGTTAAGTCTGCTTTAACTGAAAGGAGAGGACACCAACTCTACTTGCCTGATTCCCAGACTTTATATTTTAGCTGCTTAGAAATGTCAGTCTTAAAATGCGTTATTAAAACTGGGTGTTTTCTCCTTTTATTACCTGAAACTAACATTCTATTTTATTTAGGAGTAAGAGTACAACACTATACCCAGAAATACATCCTACTGAATTTTTTGGACTTAGCCTAGGTCCATATATTCATTGAAGAAAAAAATTAATGAAATGAATACATATTTAATCAGGGTGCTCAGAGCCTGCATACAGCTATCTTAGATTAAGCTGCATCAGTTAAATAATATATTTTAATTTAAGCTATTCTATACTCTCTCTGCTTCCGGATCAACATA